TTTCTCGTGAGGTTTAAGGTATTTTGATCCATCTCTATCTTTATTTTGAGAGCACTCTTGGGGCAATATTCCATTTTATTTGAACCTTGGACTAGGTTCATATCAAAATCCATACAAAAATCCTATCTTGTGTAGCCTAAAATCCAAGCAAAATGTTTAATTGCAATTCGTGAGTTTCAAACCCGGGCCTAATTATCTTTCTTGGAACTAACTTATTTCTAATTCCACATCAACCTTAAATTCTCACTTGACCCAATTCCCAAATTAAATCATCTTTTCCCCAATTTTTCCCCCAAAATCCCTAAATTCCCCAAAGTCTTCTTCTCTCTTCCTCTCTACCCGTAAACCACCGAAACCCTTCCCACCCGTCGCGACCGCCTGTAGCCCGCCACCCACCACCGACGCAGCAGCCAGCCGCCACCGCTTCGCCGTCAGCCGCCGCTGTTCGCCGCCTGCCGAAGCCTCGCCGGGCTGCCCTATTCGCCGGAAGTCGAGAGAGAAGCAGCGAGAGAGAGAGAGAGCCGCGGGGATTTAGTGGAGAAGAAAGGAAAGTTGTGGGCTTCGTTTGTTGAGCTTTGGATCATCTCCTACCATGCCTAGAAGGTCAAGTTTGGCTAGGAAAACAGAATGGGTGAATGCCCATTACCTTGTTCTTGAAGGTAAAGCCTTTGACCCGGAATCTTTTTCTAATTCTTTGTTGGAAATGCTTAGATTCCAAGGTTTGTTGGATGGGTTTCTCGCCATAAGGGCCGAGACTTACCCGAGTTTGGTCAAGGAATTTTATCGTCACATGGTTGTGACAAAGGATGGTGATAAGCTTGAGATCACCTCAAAAGTAAGAGGTGTGAAGGTAGTTCTGTCTGAAAAGAGGGTGGCTTAGCTTTTGAGTTTATCTGCTTCGGGAGTTGCTCAGTATAGCGGTAACTCATGGATTAGTACGGATACCATGGGGTACCGGGACTATTTGAGTTATCTATTGGGTCGCACGAGTAGCTTCACTCAAGCTTCAAGGCCGGAGAAAAAGTGGTTGTCTACGGAACAGAGGATCTTGGTTATGTTGGTATCGGATTGTTTGTTACCCAATAACAACAAAAGTAATTTGTTGGGAAAGTTGGAGTGCACCTTTGCCTTTTGCCTCAAGAATATGGTCAAGTTCAACCTGCCAGCTTTAATGTTGCAACATATGGTTTTCTGCCGTGATCATAACCGGAAAAGCCTACCGTATGGGATGGTGTTGAGCTGGATTCTTGTGAAAAAGGGTGTGAGTGTTGATGGCTGTCTATCGAAGGCTGTGGGAAAGTTGGTGTTGGATGCCACCAACCTTCGGAGTTGTAATCTGTTTCAGCTAGATGATGGTGATTACATCACTCTTGAAGAAGTTGCAAGAAAAGCCCCTGAGGAAAGAGCTGAGTTGGCAACAGAGCTTGGGATTCATGCCGGGAAGTTGAGCCTCGCAGTCCAGAGTGTGGGTGGTGATGAAGAAGATGAGGGTGAGGTAGGCCGTGAGGAAGAGGTGGAAGCACCGGAAGCTGCCGAGGCCGAAGAAAGTGATTCTGAAAGTGAGGAAAATCGAAGAAGGAAGGAAGCTCGCACCAAGAGGGAGCATGATGCCATGGCACATGAGGAGCGCGTTGTCACCTTGCTTCGTCAACAGAACAGTATGATCGAAGAAGGCTTCGTGTACATGAAGGCGTAGTTTGTTACAGTGCACCCAGAGGCTAGACTAGATAGAAGCCAGTTCAAGCCGTAGAGGAGAAGATGAAGAAGAATCTGAGGAGTCCGAAGAGTCGGAGAGCGAGTCCTTCTAGAGTGGAGCTGAGGCCGTCTTGTTCGCTCTTCTTTTGGTTGTTGTTATCTTCCTAGTCGTTGTTACCGTTTAGTGGTTGCTTGCTTTGTATGCTTGTCTTTGCTTGTTGTTTTGTTGCTTAGTTGGTTTTGTAGTTGGTGTTTGGAGTTAGTTGTTAGCTCTTAGTTGTTGTCCAGAATTTGGTGTTTGTGTTGGGACTAGAGTTCGCTATGCTCAATATATCCGTTTGTTTATTTCTTGCCAATTCTAGTTTTGAACTCTTTTGCCTTGAAATCTTGTGGAATCTTTTGGGGTTTTGACCAAAAGAAATTGTTACTGACACTCTTTGTCACATTGTTGTTCTTTTACCATTTGTTCTAATTCGTCGTACCCAAGCTTCGTGGACGAAGCATCTTTGAAGGGGGTGAGAATGTGACACCCCGAGATCCAAATTCGGTTAAGGGATTAATTAAGTATTTAATCCTATTTCAATTTGTAATTTAATTCCTTAAATTCCTAAAATTTAATAGTTGGGGACTAGTAATTGACTAGTCAACCCCAAAGTCAAAGTTGTACCTTGAGCGTTGTAAGGAGTTCCCTTGTTCCTTACACCTTTCCATGTTAGTAAGGGTATTCTTGACCTTTCACCTTGTGTTAGTATTATAACCTAACCTAGTAAGAACACCTCATTTCTATCCTTACACTTTCCAAAATCCTAGCTCCATCTTCCCTCTAAAAAGGTGGATAGCTTTTCTTCCAAGCCAAGTTGAAGCTTTGTCAAGACTTCAAGAGTTGTCTCCAAGATTCTGCCTTTCATACATTTGGGCATCTAAGAGGGTAAGATCCATGTTCATCTTGTGTTTTTAGTGTTCTCTTAGGTGTCTTTTCTTAAAGATAGGATTTTTATGATCTTTTGGTATGTTCTTGAAGTGGGTTTGGAAGGTGAGCTTTGATAGGAGCTTGGTGTGGTGTTAAGTGAAGGTTTTTTGTCTACAGGAGGTAACCCATGCTCTACATAATCTATTTTGCTTACCTATATGAATATTTCTTGGATTCTACATGTGTTTGCTATGAAATGTGAGTGTTTATGCATTGTCTTGTGAAAATGCATATCTAGAGCTTGTGTTTAGGGTTCTTGTATGCCATTGCTTGGCTATTCCTTTGATTCAAGTCATTTTGTTGTATTTGGTGAGATTTGACATGTTTTGGACTTGAATTTGAGTTTGGAGATGAAAATCCCCGAAGGGATTGTTTTGTGCAAGTAGAGAAAATTTCAATTTATGTCATACGACTATAGGGGTCTTGTTAATTTGCACACCTAACTTTCAAAAGTATCAATTTAGCACCTTGAGTATGTAATTTTTCTCAATTTTGGTCATTCCGACCAATTTACCGGTCAAATTCGACCGGAAAAATTAATAGGCACAAAAGTGGGGGGCAATTTAGTCTTTTCCAGATCGGCTCCTTATTGACCGGACCGTGTTCTTGAACCGGTTCACCAAGTCGACTTCCTCCCTGACTATTAGACCTGCGTTTTGTTCTACTATAAGCCCTAATTTTGCGCGGCCAAGAGCAGACAGAAGGGTGGAGAGAAGAACGAAAGTAGAGGGGAACGAACCGTTTGCAGTGCCATTCCCATCTCCATTTTGAGTATGAGTAATTTCTACAGTTCTTCTTCTTCTTCTTCGAGTACTGAGTACAATGAATTTGGAGAGAAGTTCCCAATTCACCATTGTAGATGTGGTCATCAATTAAAGATTCGAACTTCGAGATTTTGGCAATGCCGAGTAAGTAAGAATTATTAGTTTTGGTTAAGAGAAAATTTTCTTTCCCAAGATTTTGCGAATTCGTTAATGGTGTTCGTTAATTTTCCCAAGTATGTTCATTAATGGTTAATTTGCAAGCAGTACCATCCCAGTTTGTTATTTTTTTGGTAAAGTTTCGTTTTTTTTTCCTTTTTGTGTGAATACAGAGTCAGGTGGGGTGTGGATTTGTGAATTGGTATGATCCTCCAATTTGCTATCGTTCGAAGCGAATCATACCGGGATTGCTAAAACGCATAAATAGACAAGATGAAGAAATCAGAACACTAAATACTAAGCTTAAAGGCCAGACGATGGAGGATGGAAAAGTGTTGAAGTGGTTGAACAAATTGGTAGTAATATTGGTTGTAGTAGTTGTAGCTTTTGTTGTCAGTAATGTAATGTAATCAAGAGATGAAGTGATCCTTTTGTCAATGTGGATGAGTACCATCCTTTTGTCAATGTAAGTTAGTGATCCTATTGGTAATGTAATGAACTTATCTTTTTGCTAATGTAAACAAGTGATCCTATTGCCATTTGAATTGTCATTGATTAACCAACCATTCCTTTACAAGACACACTGCCCCACTGCCATTACTTTAAGTAAAGCACACTGCCTAAATAACCAAAGCACATTGCCTAAATAACCAAAGCACACTGCTCTAATTCACAAAAGCACACTGCCATTAAATAACTAAAGCACACTGCCATTATAAGTAAAACACACTTCCATTATACCAACACAATGTTCACATTGTTCTTGCCTTCAAACTTCCAACAATTCCAAGAACAGTTAAGGTTTATAATCACTGATCCAAAAATATCAAAAAGTAATCAAAAGTAGTACATCAGTTAAGGCTTATGTTCAGTGATCAAAAAACAAAAGTAGTACATAAGTCAGTCTAGTCTAAGTTGATTGGCTCATCAATGTTTCCAAAAAATTTGGACTTCATCGTTGTCTTGCTCCTCGTATAATATGGTTTCTTACGATTGGATTCCCTTTTCTTTGTGATCTTCTTTTTGCTCACTGTAGGCTGCTCCCCAAGACCTTCATTGCCTCCATGATGCACAGGAGCTTCAACCTCTTGATGCACAGGAGCTTCAACCTGTTGATGCACAGGAGCTTCAACCTCTTGACTGATTCCATGGTGCTGCTGCTGCCCAACCTCTTCATGAAGTCCATGCTGCTGACTCACTCCATGCTCCTGCTGCCCAACCTCTTGACTCACCCCCTGCTGCTTAGTGATGTGGATGGGGATTTGTTTAGTGGAATAAATCACCTTCTTCTTTGGCTTCATAAAACAATACAATACTGTTAGTTACAAACCATGCATATATTAAAATACTGTAAACAAAAAATTACCTTTTGCTTTGGATTAGATGGACATCTCCTTGAATTGTATCCAGCTTGCTTACAAAGGGAGCAGTGCAATTGTATATGCTTTCTTGAGACATATACTCCATCCACACTCAACTTTGGCCTCTCAGGCTCATCCTCACCCGCAGATTTCTTCCTTAGCTTCTTAGGCCTCCCAACCTTGGCAGAATAGATAGGGGGCAGTAGAGGAGATTGGGCACTGATTGGCCACTCATCTGGACCAGCCATAGGGTTAATTGAGGCCTTGTATATTTTCAGATAAGTCTCCTTTGAGTAACATGGATGTACAAAGTCATAAACTGCTCCATTGCCATTCTTTTTCCAAATAGCACACACAGCATGCTTGCATGGAAGGCCAGTGAGATCCCACTTCCTACAAGAGCATTTTTTGTTCTCCAAGTCCACCTCTTGTTGGTCTCCATACAGATGTTGGACTTCAAACTTAAAAAAATCACACTGGGTAGCCAAATATCTAGCAGCTTGCTTCTCAATTTGCTTCATTTTTCCAACAATTTTTGGACAAATAACTGAGTTCCACCCAGCTGCCTTTTGTCTTTGTTCGAAGAATTTGGCCATTAACATTTTTCTAATTGTTTCAAGACAGTCAATAATAGGCTTCTCCCTTGCCCCAAGTAAAGCTGAATTCCATGACTCACAAATATTGTTCACCAACATGTCTGAATGGCTAACTGTTGAGAAGTGGGATCTAGACCATTCCTTAGGATCCTTATCACCTAACCATTGATATGCTTCTTCATCTAATTCCCTAAATTTGCTTAAAGCAGTACTGAATGAAGTCTTAGTTGTTGCCCTAGCACAAGCCCACAGACTATCCTTCAGTGCTCTGCCTTGAAACCCTGCCACTTTCATATTGGAATTGATGAGGACACGGCCCAAGTAAATTAAAATATCACTATGTCGGTCCAAAAATATAAAAAGAAGGTCCTAGAATGCTCATTGAACTTGATCATCATTGAAATGAAGTCATATAATTAAAATGTAGTTATTTTAGTTAATTAAAATGCATTTATGTTAAATTTAATTAGTGACCTTTTGTTTTCTTTATTTCTATGTTACTAGTTCAAGGGAGATGAATGTTCTTTAATGCCTTGTAAATAGTTTTCTATAAAAAGGAGGCTAAAACATCATCTTTGGGGGAGAATTTTTGAGATTGAATCAAAAGAAAATGTTTAGGCATTTTTGTTGTCTCTCTTGTGTTTTGAGAGATGTTCTTTTAGGCTTATCAAGATAATACCAATCTTGTGGTGCCATCCATTCCTTATCACCTAAGACCAAGGTGTGGCGGAAATATCTTTATAGAAAAACACAAAAATAATCCCATAACCAACCCCTACATCAACCAATTCCATCTCCAACACTCTCAATTCCATCTCTTGGTTGATGTAGGGGTTGGTTATGGGATTATTTTTGTGTTTTTCTATAAATATATTTCCGCCACACCTTGGTCTTAGGTGATAAGGAATGGATGGCACCACAAGATTGGTATTATCTTGATAAGCCTAAAAGAACATCTCTCAAAACACAAGAGAGACAACAAAAATGCCTAAACATTTTCTTTTGATTCAATCTCAAAAATTCTCCCCCAAAGATGATGTTTTAGCCTCCTTTTTATAGAAGACTATTTACAAGGCATTAAAGAACATTCATCTCCCTTGAACTAGTAACATAGAAATAAAGAAAACAAAAGGTCACTAATTAAATTTAACATAAATGCATTTTAATTAACTAAAATAACTACATTTTAATTATATGACTTCATTTCAATGATGATCAAGTTCAATGAGCATTCTAGGACCTTCTTTTTATATTTTTGGACCGACATAGTGATATTTTAATTTACTTGGGCCGTGTCCTCATCATTCCCTCACTCTTCGAGATGATTCGTCCTCGAATCACACTTGCCTCGGTCAAATGGAAATGAGTAATTATCCGACCATATGACTTTAATACCTTCACCAAGGAGAGTGACTGATCCCGCGCTTTGTAGATCATGGCATAACAATACCATTCCTTCCAATTGGTTTTCAACCCTTGTATCACATTCATTAACCTGCAAAGAACTTAAAATAAAGTTTATGGAGTTCTCGAAATCTTCTCCCTCATTCTTTCTCACAAAGTTCAAAAGACAATTCTTCCTCACGTTCAGTTTTTTTCTCAATCTCTCCTTTTTCACCCAAATATTTCTCATCTTTGTTTTCACACTCTTCTTCACTTATTTTTACATTGTCACTCATTTCTTTTGAGCCCTCATGATATGACAAGGAAATAGATGTCAAATTCTTGACCTCTTTCTGCTGCAATTTTTCTTCAATTATTTTGGCATGGTATAGTAAAGTAAACAAACACTTGCACCCTTGAGGAAGCATTCGTGCAATCTCCTTTCTAACACCATACACAAATCTGTTCTTGGTAATTGCAGTTGGCTCAATCACCTCATCTCGGATCATCAAATCTCTTAACTTGTTGTAGAATTCTTCCACACTAAGTGATCCTTGTTGAAGTGTATTTAACTCAAAAGACTCCATGGATGATGTGAAACAATGAACAATAACTAGAAAATACAAGGGATGACAACACAAATCTGGACAGATTTTAAGGGTGGCTTTGATGAATTTTCTGGAATGTTATGGATGATATTTTGACCCAAATTTTTTTATGGTTAGCAAGAACTATGGGTTTTATTCAACCATAAAAATTTTCAGGGCAAAAAGATAAGTGGAAGTATTTTTTTCCAAACTTTTCTTCTGGACTGGACAGGAAGAAAATTTCTGGGCAGAATCTTACGGTTGTGTTGAATTCAGCAATTTTTCTGTGTTTCTTGGAATATGATTTTTGCACAAAAATTTCATGAAACAATATAGTGGTAGGTTGGGTACTTCCAGAAAAAATTTCAACACAATTGGATATGTGGAAGTATTTTTTTGGAATTTTTTTTTTAGAAGACGCAGGCTGAAAATTTACTGCAGAAACAAATGAAACAAGAATTGATTGGTAGAGTGTTAACCTTTTTTGTGTGAGGAATGAACCCAAAGCTCTGATACCAAACTGATGTGGATCTTTAAGGATGAACTCGAGAGTCGATTCACCAAAGAATCCTTTGATTGCCCGATCTTTTCCTCACCAAAACAGCAGGAACAACAATTATGGTTTGAGAGTGTTGGAGATGGAATTGGTTGATGTAGGGGTTGGTTATGGGATTATTTTTGTGTTTTTCTATAAAGATATTTCCGCCACACCTTGGTCTTAGGTGATAAGGAATGGATGGCACCACAAGATTGGTATTATCTTGATAAGCCTAAAAGAACATCTCTCAAAACACAAGAGAGACAACAAAAATGCCTAAACATTTTCTTTTGATTCAATCTCAAAAATTCTCCCCCAAAGATGATGTTTTAGCCTCCTTTTTATAGAAGACTATTTACAAGGCATTAAAGAACATTCATCTCCCTTGAACTAGTAACATAGAAATAAAGAAAACAAAAGGTCACTAATTAAATTTAACATAAATGCATTTTAATTAACTAAAATAACTACATTTTAATTATATGACTTCATTTCAATGATGATCAAGTTCAATGAGCATTCTAGGACCTTCTTTTTATATTTTTGGACCGACATAGTGATATTTTAATTTACTTGGGCCGTGTCCTCATCAGGAATGTAGGTGCCTCACACAAAATCTGTGCTCTACTCCAGGTAAGACTGCCACAAAAGCTGGAATTAAGCCCTTTTGTTTATCACTTATAAAACAGAAATCCTTCTCACAGTGGTCTAAAATCTGCAAATCATCCTTGAGTAGTCTTAGAAACCAACTCCAAGACTCCTTGTTCTCACCTTCTACAATAGCATATGCAAGGGGAAAGATGCAGTCATTAGCATCCACAGAGACAGCAGTAAGTAACATCCCACCTGTAGAACATCTCAAGTGACATCCATCCACTCCTATGAGGGGTCTACAATGCTTAAAGCCTTGTTTGCTAGCACATGTACATCCTTAAAAATCTCTTCTGCCCAGATCCATCAGCCAAATCTCTGTCCTTGACAATACAAGTGGTGTGTGGGTTTGTCCTTATGATTTCATCATGGTAGTTCCAAATCTTCTTGAAGTTGTCTTCATCATCACCTAGTCTTTGTTTCTTAGCCTTCCAAATTGCCCTATAGGCTTGTTGATTACTAAGATAGAAACCCTCTTCACTGCTCACCTTATCCCTGAATTTTTTCATCATCCATTCAGGATGGTCTTTTAATTCCTTACACCACCTCTTTGCAACAACACTTGCCTTGACTAAAGAGTTCTCCCAAACCCAACAACAACCTTCATGCACATCCACCATGTTTAGAATCCTCCAAGACAAAGAGTTCTGTACTTTCCTCAGTCCTATTCTCCAAGGACAACCATGTTGTGAACACTCAACTATAACCCTCTGCTTATCATTTCTAAGAGTTCTAATATCTTTCCCATTTTTTAAACCATAGTTTCTAATTGCTTCTCTGAATTGTTGCTTGGATGCAAAAGTCATGCCTAATGTAAACTGTGGATCTTGCATGTCAGTGGCAGGTCTAAAAATAGTCCACTTATTATCTTCATCACTGTCAGAATTCACTAATGAGGCATCATCAGAGAAGTTGATCTCATCAAAATCAGTTGTGTTTCTGTTTCTGTCAGGCTCTAGGTCAACCATGACACCATTACCATCTTCAACATCACTTTCAATCTTTATGTTTATATTCCTGTTCCTGTCAGGCTCCAGCTCAACCATGACACCATTACCATCTTCAACATCACTTTCAATCTTTATGTTTCTGTTCCTTTTCCTGTTCCTGTTTCTCTCAGATTCAAACACAGCCTTCTCACCCTTACCATCTTCCTCATCAGTACCACCATCACCACACTTCTCATCTTTGTTTAAACACTCAACCTCAAGCTCAAAGTCACTGTCCCATTCACCCTCAGATTCAAAGAAATCTATTTCTGTTTCAATAAAATCAGTAGCATCCACTGTTTCCACCCATATCTCTAATATTTTCCCCTCTTTGTGTGAATTAATTAGACAGTTTGCAACATCAAAGTCAGTTTGAAGTAAATTCAAGCTTTCAGTTGTAAAATCATAAATGTTGGCTCCTATTTCAGAATACCCTAGAGCTTTTATCTTATCCTTGAAGAACTGTATACAGACTTCCTTAGCATCCACACGTTCATATAATTCTACATCACCCCCCAAATACTTCACTTCACCTTGCCTATTTATAATTCCATTGTGAAATAGAGCAATTTCAAAGAGGCCAAGTTTATCTTCTGGAAAGCACCAAAATAGTAAAACATAAAGCAAAAGCATATGTCAGTATTACTAAACTACAAACTTCAATATATGCACATGACATTTCAAGAAAAAGATAAACACAGTGGTCCCCCCCAAGCAACTTTCTCAGAATATGTCTTTAATCTAACACAAATATACAACTAAAATGGTTCCCACATGTCATCTTCTCAACATATATAAAGCCCAGTCAGAGAGAATATCACCATTGCTACTTTACACTATACTCTACTCACATACACACAAGAAATACTCTGAAAAACAGAATAGTGCAAAAGGCTCCAATTTCAGAGTAATTTTTACAAGACTAAGTAAATCTTACTTGCTTCGAGAGTATTGGACGCATTACCCATTCCATTGCCAGAAGACGACATAGCCATTCGTCGTTGTGTTCAACTTCCTTCGTCTTCACCTTCGTTCGTCTCTGTTGTTGTCTCTGTTGTTCGCTTTAGGGTTGTGAAACAAATTAGGAGATTGACTAGAACAATACGCAGGTCTACTACCAATGGAGGAAGTGGAGTCGATTTGGTGGACCGGTTCAAGAACACGGTCCGGTCAATAAGGAGCCGATCTGGAAAAGACTAAATTGCCCCACCACTTTTGTGCCTATTAATTTTTCCGGTCGAATTTGACCGGTAAATTGGTCGGAAAGACCAAAATTGAGAAAAATTACATACTCAAGGTGCTAAATTGATACTTTTGAAAGTTAGGTGTGCAAATTAACAAGACCCCTATAGTCGTATGACCAAAATTGAAATTTTCTCTGTGCAAGTATGTGTACCCGCGAGCCGAACGGCGGGTAGGGGTCCAACCCACCCGCCCACCCGCGGGGTACATGATGTTGGAGGGCCTATACCCGTGGGCAGAACCACGGGTAGGGGCCTACCCGTGGGCCCACCCGCGGGGTACGTGTTGTGGTTTTCAAGTTCATGATTTTCAAGTTTGGCACTATATTTTGCAATCCATAATAACGTGATATATTCTGATTAATTAAAATATGACGTTTTATATAAGTCTATTTTGAATAACAATTAAAAAGTGAGTTTCACCTCAATTAAAAATCTTAACTAATAATTGGATATTATATTTTAGCATAGTTATAATTTTTTTTTTTTTCATGGATGAGATATCCAAGGGAATGATGCGATATAATAAGGCAATTGGTGCATGCATCTAAACCACACCCAAAGTATTAAGTATGTATGGTCAATCCTATCATGAGAATGTGTGACAAATATGGGATGACCCCAAAGCTAATTTCAAAAAAAGCTAGCTGGGGGAGCGTATATATTCTGGCACATGGAAGAATGGCATAAAGTATAAAGGTAAGGCATGGGCCAGCTTATGTCATCTTTGAAATCTAGTTTAATCATAAATCTTTGAGCTTCACATTTTCTCTCTAATTACCATACTTTTCTACTTCAATATTGAGCTTTGCCAATTGTCACGCTCCTTATGGAAGGAGCCTTGTGGGTGACATCACAGTGTGGCCCTCGCATTCCTTATCAAAATCCTCTCACATCCGATGATATGTATTTTACTTCTCGACTAATATAAAGTTCAAATTTTTAATTCAAAAGATAACTTAAGTGGTAAAAAAAAAAAATTTCGGATGACGATTTTAAGGATAATTCAAATTCGATTCTTACAAATGATTGTCTCCTGGAGTGAACATCATGGTTTACACAAATAAATAAATAAATAAATAAATAAAAGTTTATTTCTTTTTATTTAGTCATTTTAGGATAGAGAACACTTCTTTCAATATGTATGTATAGAAATTCAATTTCAATATACATATATAATACTACAATCCTTGATATACAAAATCCAAATTAAAAACACTCCAAATTCACACTAAAATATATATGGTACAAGCACATTCACCAAACACTTTGTGTTTGCCTAACCCTAATGCAATTAATTAGGTGGTAACATGTTAGAAGAAAACAAATATAAAGGTGAAGAAAGGAGTGTACATAAATCCATAGTCCTGGCTCCTGATGTTGATTGCATTCTCTTCTTTCCTTGTCCACAATCTGTTACTCAGAAATTAACTAAGTCGTTTGTGCACAATCTGTTATTCAAAAACCAATTGAACTATTTGTTTAGAATTTGCTATCCAAAAATTAATTGAGCCGTTTATCCATAATCTGTTACCCAGAAACCAATTGAGAGAATATGATTGCATTCTCTCTTCTCTTCACACCAAACAAATAATGGAGATGTGGTGGTGGTGGTCACATTGATGAATGAATGGCATATGCACCCACCAAACACATGCCCTTTACCCTGCACATGCTTCCTGTCCCCCCCCCCCCCCCCCCCCCCCAAATACCTCCACTACTCTTACATACATACACTATCCTTCCCTTTATTCATTTCCTTCCCTGCCCAAGTTAATCATCACTTTCACTACAATTAACAATATATATGTTACTACTACTCCCAAATCATCATATTAATTATATTACTGCTCCAAACTCACTCCCAAAAAGAACAAAATCAAATCAAAGCCCACTATTTATATATCTCTATGTTAAACAATCACCTATGTGGAATACATTTTCTTTTTCTTCTAAGTTATAATAATCATAATAATTATAATAATAACTTAGTTTATAATACGAGGGGTTACTAGACAACTGATGAGTGAGTTGGTGCGGTGGAATTGCAATTGAGGTGTCGAGGGCAAGTAGTGAGGTGGTCGTTGGTAAGGCCGGCGGCCTGCATGAACGAGTGGATGACGGTGGGGCCCACGTACCGGAATCCTATCTTCACCATGTCTTTACTTATGCTTTCGGACTTTGAGGTCTTCACCGGAATCTTGTTGCAGGCCTTGTACTGGGTGGCAATTGGTTTGTTGTTCACAAATCTCCACAGGTACTTGTCAAAAGACCCGAATTGCTTCTTCATCTATACATACATACATACATTAATAAGGGAAAATTAATTAGTCCCACAATAAGCAGATGACAGAAATGGTCTTTTAGCAATTATTAGCAGCACTTCACAACATTTAAAAAAAGGTGTCCCATGTTGGAGATGGTGATGTTACATACACAAGTTGTGTTAACTTCAACCAAATCAATCAATATAATATAATATAATGACTTTATGGTTTAGTGGATGTCCCATGTGAGAGGTTTGTACTGTAATAGAGTTAGTAGTACTCAGGGACGGAGCCAGAAAATATGTTGAGGGGGTGCAAAGAAGTAGGGATGGATTCAATGGCGGATTCATAAATTTTTTTAATGAGGGAAAAAAATTAAAATAAAAGAGAAAGTTAAAAAAAAATGAAATACTTAAGTATAACAATAAATATTGTTGGATATAGCGAAAAATAAAACATATTAAAACTTTATACAAATATTTATAGCAAAATATGAAACATAATTAATTTGATAAAACAATTCGAATATAAAACACATTATAAATTACACATTCCATTATTAATATAAAGAAAGTTATAAAAATATTTATAGCAAAATATGAAACATAATTAATTTGATAAAACAATTCGAATATAAAACACATTATAAATTACACATTCCATTATTAATATAAAGAAAGCTATAATGGAAGTTATATATATCATGCCAAAATTTAATTGTGTTAATCAAAAACTTGAAGAAGACTATGACATTGTCAATGCAAAGACTCAAACCCAGGCCATTCCAAAACTCATACACATTAGCTACCACCTTGTCTATCACAGCTTTTGTTTACATAATCTGTTTTATAATACTTATATAAATAATGTACTATATATACATATTATATACAATATAGGGTAGGGGTGGGGTGGGGTGAGGGGGGACAGCTGACCCCCCTGCCCCCCCTCTGGCTCCGTCTATGGTATTACTCAAAAAAAATAAAATAAAAAAATAAATAAAAAAATAAAAAATAAATAAATAAATAAATATATATATATATATATATATATATATATATATATATATATATATATATATATATTAAACATTATTCGTTTCAAAGTTGAGGTACCAAATTCGAGTAATGTTTATCGTTACGAATTAGAAGAAAAGTACAAATTATTTGCACTTTACAGCCTATATATGCTTCCTGCTATGGCATCATAGTGTGTAGTGATGGAGCATGTAGTTGTCACCAATCATGTTGGGAATGGTTTTTTTTTTTTTTTTTTTTTTTTTTTTTAAACTCCCATAACTTATAAGAAAGTGAATGGAAAAGACAGTTGAAAAGCAACTATCTTAGTTAATAGCTTTCATAAAGCATAATTAATTAATTAATTAATTAAATTGGTATTAAAATCAATGTATCACCTCCATAATTTTGATAGAATTGTCAACAGCTCCTCTAACCAAGCTCAATTCCATGCCATATTCAGTGCTGGTTGAGTTTATCTTCTTCTCTGTGTACTTTGACACAATTTCTGCATCAAATCCTGAGAAGGCCTCCCTGGATAACATTCATCAAAGATAGATGAAGTCAGATGAATAAAACTTTTTGAGTTGAATGAAGAACATGAAAAGAAGAGATGTATGTATAGTATTACCTGAAATCTTGCCTTTTCTTTAAGACTGTTGTCCAATCTGATCCAACTTGAGCACCAGTCAACACCAGTAATTCAAACAGCATGCTGCATATATCAATTAAATGAAGAGAAATGATTAATGAGCAATCTTTATTTTTGTTAAAAAGGACAATTTCATTAAGTGTTGGGCGGAGGCCGGTAAAATTCAGCATCCAATGTCTCAAAAACGTGTAGCCGTATAAAAAAATAAAATTGTAACTTCGTTACTATTATAGTTTTTGGCGTTGTGATAAGCACTTGATCTAACAAGTGATATCAAACCATGCCAAGGATTCAGTAAAGGCCAAGTTTAGCACCGGACTTCTCAAAATGTGTAACAGTATAAAGAAAAAAGTTGAGCATCCGCTACTACTAACTACTCTTTCCGTCCTATTTTGTGTCTGGTTCGGTTAATGATAATGCTTGACTGAAGTTATTTTTAATTTAATTTTTATAAAATTAAGTTTAGTATCTGTATATAAAATTTATATATTTAGAAACTATACTAAAAATACTATTAAATACAAAAAATCAAATTTTAAAAAATAAAAATTACTAAAAAACATAAATAAAGAATAAAGTGTTGGTTTGACCAATAAATAGTAAGTATGAAAAATAAAATGTGACAGAGGGAATGAAATTAATGGTACTCACTTGTCGTCGTGAACAGGGACTCCCCATTCTTCATCGTGGTATGCAACATAAATTGGGTCTGAAATTCACCATGATAGAACAGAGTTAATTATGTGCTCTTAAAATCATATAATTATGCAGAATTCTTGAAAAGAAATGATGTATTACCAGAATTGGCAGTGATAAAGCTGCATCTTTTTTCTTGATGAGGACTGGTAGCCGGCGGCGGCTGAGAGTCAGCGGCGCCGATCTTTCCATCTTCCAATTTGCCGGATTTGGTTCTTCCGTAGTGGGCAATTCGCATTTTCCGTTGGACTTGCATAATCGCGACTTGTTCCCTTCTCGCCGCCGCTATACTTCCGGGCGCTTCGGTTATCAAGGAAGAGGAGTATGCGGAGCATGAACTCTCCGTTTCCGGCGACGACGGGGCAGAAGCGGCGGCGCCGCCTTTCTTGAACTTCTTAACCAACAACAAGTCTGCTGATTTAGCAGTGCCCTTGGGAGTTAAAGCCTTGTCGAGGCTGGAATTCAGGCCGTTGGGATCATTGCCCATTCTCTTGACGGCCGGCTGTCGGGGAGATTTGATCTTAGGCGAGACCGGAGGCGTGGCGGCTGAAGGCTTCGGCCTAAGCTTAGTAGCAGACGGCGGCGATAAGGGCTGTAATGCGGCGGAAGAGGGTGGCTGTGGGGAGAGCTTTTTAAGGGAATTGCGACGCTCCAGTAGAGGAACTCTGTTGCAGTTGGGGTGCAGAACTGGACGGCCATTGATATGGGAGACATTTGGGGTCATATCTCCCTGCAATTTAGTCTTGGGGAAACACATCTTCAGGAATGTCAGAATCTTAATTCAATGAAGAAGAAGAAGAAGAAGAAGAAGAAGAAGAAGAAGAAGAAGAAGGTGAGAATGGGGAGCTATGGAAATAGAAATGGAAATAGAAATGCAGAGGAACAGTTCTCAGGGTGGTGATGTGCAGGATAGATGTACTTAAGGAGGTCCGGGAAGGATGTCGCTATTTATAAAGGCTTGGAGCAAGGAACAAATAACCTTGCTCAAACGCTTCATTTTTGCTATGTAACATGGAAACATGAAACAATAATTGTTAGAGCAAATACCAATTTTGGTCCCACGAGTATTAGCAAAATGACGGTTTTGGTCCACATATTTAATTTCTACCAATTTTCATCCCACGACTATTGTTTTAGTACCAATTTTCATCCACGACTATTATTTTAGTACCAAAATTCATCACGCCGATCACCCCTCTATCCAAGACATGTCGAAATCTAAAAATTTTAAGGGCATTTTCGTCCTTTTCAACTTAAGGCTCTAATTTGAGCATGAATAAAGGGATGTAAGCCCTAAGATCAATCCCAATTGGCAGTTCTCCTCCTCATCCTACTTTAATTTGAGGAGAAAAACTGCGAATCACGATAGATCTTAGGGCTTAAATCTTTTTATTCATGCTCAAATTGGGATCTTAATTTTAAAAAGACGAAAATACCCTTAATAATTTCATATTTCGACATGTTTTAAACAAATGTGTGATTGGCGTGATGAATTTTGGCACTAAAACAATAGTCGTGGATGAAAATTGGTACTAAAGTAATAGTCGTGGATGAAAATTGGTAGGAATTAAACATGTGGACTAAAACTGTCATTTTGCTAATACTCGTGGGACCAAAATTGGTATTTGCTCTTTCAAAAAATATAAGAAAGGAGATTAATTCCAACTAATCTCCATATTGGTTTGGTAATTACAGTATTACAAGTTTGACTTTTAATATTCTTGTTGGTTTAACCCAGTTAACTATGGACAATTTCGTTGAATTACTACTTTGTAATTTTTTGGCAATTAAGCCACAAGGAATGATTTACCAAGCCCACAGCATACTCTCAAGATCCGGTAGTGGCTACTCACTACGCATCATTTTAACTCAGTAGACCTGCACACCCTTCGCTCCGATTTTTCTGAAAACGTGTCTTCAACCAAAAAAAAAAAAAAAAAAAGCTTTCAAATTTTTGAATAATTGGTAAACTGCCTAGAACTTTTCCGAAAGCTTTTTGATTAACGGGAGAACAATACATGAACAATTTTTAGCAACTTTTGGAGACAAAACATTTTCAAAATAGAGAAATGCTAACCTTCCGGAGTTTTCGTGCAACAAATCATATTTAAATATTAATGTTAGTATTTATATCTTACAAGATGAGATTAATTCAATTGAGTTTTAATCTGTTAGGGACCATTATATTATTGACCTTATTATTATAAGTGACTTAAACCTTCTCTACTTAAGTTAATGGTTTTGGTTAACAAACACTTTTTAAACTCAAAAAATAAGATGTTGATGACATGGTAAGATGGTCAACAATAATATATATAGGCATATATAAAATAGGTGTTCACGGACGTCAAACAAAGATAAAGTAGTTGGACAAGAGAGGGTGTGAGTAGGGTCAATTGGGGCATACTTTAAGAGGAAGTTAGTAACATGGGAAGATTAGGGTATGACGGACATACACCCTCTTGTGAGGGGTACTTTCTTTTGTTTAACGCTCGACCACGAGGATGACACTGACACCATCCTTCCTCCTATCCCTATCCCTATAAATCCCTACTGCAAAGCTTGGCTTTTAATCATTTTTTTTTCAGCATACATGCATTTAATTATTTTTGTTATCATGTATAGAATATGTAGTACATTATATATTAATAGTGGTAGACAAAAGCAAACAAAGGTTTGCTTTGGGAGGGACAAAACCTAGCTAGCTACTTGGTGACCCTGATGCCATCTTTCAATGAATCACAATTTTAACTCTTACTAGTCTAATATTGTGCATTGCAGGGTTACATGCATGAATGCCAAAAAGAAAAACAATAATCAAATTAGCTTAGCTAGCGTAAGTAGTTGTACTGGAGTGAGTGACACTTTGCCTAATAAACAAAGAGCTTAAATGATCATGCCTACTTATTTGTCCCCCCCCCCCCACCCCCCGCCCCGCACTTTGCCCAATAAAAGAAGGGCTCAAATAGCTATGCTCACTTATTCCTTAATAAAGATCGAGAGTTCAAACTCCCCCTCTTTCCATCCTTCCCCCCAACACTTTGCCCAACAAAAGGATTCAAAAGATCATACTCTCGATCTCATCCCTTAAGAGAGATCGAGAGTTCAAACCTTCCACTGACACTTTGCCCAACAAAAGAAGGGCTCAAATGTACTTATACTAGAATATAACATAACTTACCATTAAATTACATTTCGAACCGGAGAGAATAAACGGATCATTTCTAGCCACAAAGTCCATCCTTTTCCTTACTATTCACAAATTCTTAGCGCTTAGGCGCCAATTAATTGGCCCCTAGGTTGAATTTTTGCAACACTGGGCGTGAGTACACTCTTATCTTTTAAAAGAAGTCAAGAGTTCATAACCCCCCAGGAAGAGCAGAATCTAAGGCTTAGCCCAAGCTAGCTGGAGTGAATGCAAATACACTCTCATCTCATAAGAGAAATTTGAAGTTCAAAACCCCCAGCACTTTGCCCAACAAAAAAGAGCTCAATTAGTCGTGCACTCTTATTCTTTAGGAGAGATTAAGAGTTCAAAATTCTCACCAAACAAAAAAGGACTCAAATCCACTTACTAGAATATAACATAACTTTACCATTAAATTATATTCGGATCCCGTGTGAATAAACAGATCATTTCTAGCCACAAAGATCATCCTTTTCCTTACTATTCACAATTTCACATTGTCTTTAATTTACTGCTAAAATACATTGGCATGAGAGCAGAAGCTAAGGCTTAGCCAGTTAGCCCAAGCTAGCTGGAGTGGGGGTGAAGGGTGTTGAGGGCCATGCATGAAAGAGACCAATCATTGCTGTTTCCTTTAGAGCTGGCTCAAATTCCCTTTCTTTCTTCTATCCCAACTTTTTCAGTTTTGTATTTATCAAGAAATGGGGATTTGATGATTAGTTCGAAATTGATGAAGATTAGTTGTATTAACTTTTTGAGTTCAGTTGTTGGAGCTAATCAATTTCAATGCTAGCCTTAGCTTGTAGTGGCACCAGTACAAGTAAACCACCAAAGGTGGCCACCACATCACACAGTAGCTTCCAAAAACCCACTTCTTATGGCCGTGTTTGGTAAAAAAATTGGCCTATAGGCCAATTTTGGCTTTTTGATCACTATTAATTGTTTGATTTAGTTAAAATATCAATATAAATGTTTGGTTAATTAGCTTTTTGTAATTTCAAAAGGCTAAAATTCAAAAAGTTACTCCAAGCAACTTTTTCAATTAGCTTTTTGAGAAAAGAAATTATACCAAACAGCTATCAGCTAACAGCTAATTTACCAAACACTTTTCTACACTCAGCTAATGTTATCAACTATTTATACTCTCTAATTAACACAATCAGCTAACAGTAAACAGCTATCAGCTAACAGTCATTTTACCAAACAGGGCCTATATATATTTATTTGGCTATTATATGTTGACATTCCATTCTCAAGTTTTGTTAAACTTGCAAGCTCACATAAAGTATCAAATTAAACTTAGCTAGATAAAATTAAACCAACTTGAAGATTGAGTTGTTGTAACAGTGAGTGAATAATGGTACAAAATAATAAGGGAAAAGAATTCATTCCTGTTTGGTAAAACAGTTAGCCTATCAATCAATTTTGATTTGTTTGACTACTATTAACTGTTTGACTTAGTTAAACAACTAATACGAGTGCTTGATTAATTAGCTTTTTGTAATAACTTATTGCTTCAAAACACTAAAATTCAAAAAGCAGCTCAATACAATTTTTTCGATCAATTTTTTGAGAAAGTCATTAATCAGCTATCAACTAACAACTAATTTACCAAACATCTTTTTACAATCGCTAATGCTATCAACTAGTCAAATACACTAACCCAGTCAACTAACAACTATTTACCAAACACTCCCTTCATGTAATTAAAATGCATCCTTCAATCAAATAGTAATAATATTCATAAATGGAGAATTTAACATCTTCCCATATGGGAGGTTGTGCGTTCAAACCTCAATGAAGGTGGCATTGACTTTTTACCTTCATTAGGTTGAGAAAGTAGTTTATGAACAGATACTACATTATAATAGAGTCAGTAGCATTAAAAAAAAAACATCTTCCCGTTTTGTTTTAATTAATATAATTTCATTACATCCAATTATGGTCCCTCTTTGCAATTGGCTTTTCAGATTGATATATCTGCGAACACCTCTCTCTTTTTTTTTTTTTTTTTTGGATAAGATTAAGAATCATGTTCTTCTGTTGAACTTATTGGAATGTTGAGTACAATCAATGATGTTCTTGTCATTGCCCTCAATTTTGACGCCCGCCCTGGCCTAGCTTAACTATGAACCTGGTCGAATTTGCAAAACGTTTAATCCGGTTGTTGAAGATAATAGATTTCACAATGAACTGTTGGCTCGGGCTAAATTAATTATACAATACTAGAATCTGGTCACAATCTCTCTAGATTCTCAAAGCAAATGATCCAAAATCACCAGTAATCATCTCATTTGTACTTGAGTAACCACAATCTAATATTAAATCGTTTATTATTATTACGGAGTATTATTTTTTGGTAAAGATGTTAGATCGTTTATAAATACTATCTTGTATATATCTCCAAATTCGTTTATAAATACTATCTTGTATATATCCCCAAATTAAAAAGGATTTGAACTCTGCTAATTTGAATACAACAGGTTCTTGTAACTCCGACTACCAAGAACCTATCTTATTCTAATTACTCGATCTATTCAATATTGATCATCTATTACATCTTTTATTACATAGCATGCGGTCGATGTTGGGATTATATGTAAAAATAAAGAATGACTACTAATATAATCTTCATTTTTATGAACTCAAAAAAGTATATGGTCTGGAATATTGTGGTCGTCCCTGAGTAGATTATTGGAGGATTTCATTGCATATTCCAAGGCTTGAGTTGCAAGGCAATACTGTG